ATGTGCTAAGTGCCAAAAATTGAACTTTTTCCAATTTAGAGCTTTTTATACTTTTAAGGATATAGTTGAACCTGGACAACTGGAACAAATAAAATAATTAGAAATGAAAGGTTTACTTGTGAAAATATGATGAAAACAGTCCCAGTCCTATAAGATCAATCCTTGATTCACTACCCATGCAATATAAGAGAACCATAAATATCAGCTCTACCACCTGACATTACACCATTAGGACTCCTTTCCTTTGTGTCTTAAAGTTTTTCCTTCTTCAAGATTTTTTCTTTAAAAAGTAAATAGCACTGGAGGTAGGAGCTGGATGGGAGCAAAAAATGTAAAAGATACTTTTAAGCCTGTTCTTTATCCAAGTGTCTTCACTTTCCAAGCATATCATTTTACTGAAGATTGCCTAAGAGAAGATCAGGAGACTCTCTTGGAAGATGGCTATCACTGAGAAGGACAGGAGGAAGGGAAGGGAAAGTTGGGCAGAAAGCAAAGATGAATCTTTCCTGATGCCTCTCATATTAACAACTATGAGATATTTGTTATTCTCATTGTATTGATGAGAAAATTGAGGTTCAAAGAAACTGACTCAGTATCCTGTCTATTTTCTTTTACTTTGTGCTATTTTCTTTGAGAATCACAATTTCAGCAATTGGTAGAAAAGCAGGATACAAAATTATCTTTACATTATGAATATAATTATGTAAAAAGATCAAGTGAAAACAAGGTAAAGGATATATCAAAATGCTAATAATTGTGGTCTTTGAGAGCTAAGTCGGGGGGTACCTTTTTTGTTATTTTCTAATTTTCTCTGTTTTTCAAAATACACACAACTACTTTTCCATGATGTAAAATAATAACAACAATAGCAGCAACAAGAGGCGTGTATTGTCTTAAAAAGGGAAATCGCTTTTGTGTTTTGGGCTACCAACATTCTCAAGTTAGGTAGAAGATGTTTACAAAACTTACAGAAACAAAGACTGGTACTTAAAAGGTTTAGTCAAATAAAAGCCATCATGAAAATTTTGTCATATATAAGCTCTCAGGGCTGTGACTTGGACTATGTTATATAATTTCCCACTAGTTACACTGTCGAAAAGAAAAATACATGAGAGTGACTCAACTGAAAATTAAAATTAAACTGGCCTAACTTTGAAAATAGTCTGCATGTTATGGAAAGCAAATATCTGAAATGAATATATTTCTCCATATTGTAATCCTTCACCAAGATAGTCAGGCATTTCTGCACCTCCAAAAATACCAAAAGGTCCAATTATTCCTTAGAAACAGGCCATCAATAATTAAGATATCTTTTATAAACAATGCTAAATACCCAAATTGACTGAACTGAGAGAATGATTAGGCACAGTACAGATTGAACTGAAATCTGAAAGCATGCTAATTTAAACTCTTTTCTCAGTATTCACACAACCAATTTTGTAAAGAATAGGGTTAATCAGATAATTCCTTTGTATATACAATCCCAAGCTATTAGTCTGACTAGTTTATTTCATTGAATCTACCAAATATATAGTTATTTTCCTAAAATATAATTGAATCACTCAATAATAGGAAGAGAAAAGATTCTGGCCTCAACTTTTTGCACAAAGAGTATAAGTTAAAAATCTTCCCAAGACACATTTGTCCTTTATTTATAAATGCTCTTTTATTTCCTTTTTAATATATTTCTTTTAGGCTACACACATTTGACTTTAATAACTTAGATAGAAAGACCTGGCCCAGACAGTATTTATTAAAATGGAAATGAAATTTGCCTGAAAGAAAAAAAATGCAGAGAAAATATTAAATAAAAGTCCTTGGGTGGAGGATTTGAACTTTTTGAATATTTTAAAAAAGAACTATTTCAAAAGAGGAAACGTTTTGGACAAAATTGCCTCTGTTCCTGGCTCCATTCCAATTCCTCAGGGACACGCCATTCTTACAGACTTGGAACCTGGTTCCATATTGAATTGTCCTCTCTTCATCCTTTGTAGCTAACACGATCATATCTCACTCTTTCTCACTTTGAAGTATCACTCTGGTTCACATCTTTAAATTCTCCTGATGAAGAATATTACTACTTCAAGTCTGAATTGCTACCCACAATTTACAAAATGTTTTTTCTGCCACAGTCTTTCCTCCTCTTATGTCTCCTTCCCAGCTCTTTGATTTATCATCCCCAAACACTGCTTTCATCATTGCTGCTACCTTACCACACATACTCTCACACTCTTCTTGCTTCCACATTAAGTTCAAATTCCTTTCTCTGCCTGATATTTGGGATCCTCCACAGTCCTTTTTCTTTTTCTATTACACACACACACACACACACACACACACACACTCACTCACTCACTCACACAATATCACATACTTCTATTAATCCAACCTTACTTTCTACTGCTCTCCCTAAACACATCATTCATTTTAATCAACCAAGTCATTCCATACCATAAACATAAAACCCTCAACTTCTTTTTAAACCCACACCTACCATTCTTAGTCCAGTTACTTCCTGTATGTGTGAAGCGCTGTCCCTCCTAAGTTTTACTTTCCAAATGATTCTTATCCTCCTATAGCCTTCTCAAATGCCACTTTTTCCACAGTCTTCTCTAGTCCTTCTAGCACCATAATTTCCATTCTTTTCTCTGAACTCTTATCCAGTTAATCACCAAGAATGAAGTACAGGAAATATTGGTCAAATGCACTTCTGTTGATTTATGTGTCATCCCGTGTTTTTCAACCAGGGTGTTATTGACATTTTCTAACAGGGCACTTTCTGATGTGTAGGACTGCCTTGCACTTTTCAGGACATTTGACATCCTTTGCTCCTGAATGCTGAGAGTGATGTTACTATGACAACCCCAAATACTCTGGATACATTTTCAAATGCCTTAATTATGAAAAAGTTCCTTAGAGTAGTTACTGTGTAATATATACATCTGTTCAACAAATAATCTGTTTTAAGTGGTGAATGTATATATTTTAAGAATCAGTCTGTTTTTCCCGTATACTTGCCAACATATTAAAAAACCAGAAAGGAGGCTGATTAACCTTAGGTATTAACTGCCATTCAATTTTAAATGTATTTCATAAGATGTTTCACCAAACCCTCACACTAACCCTTGTCTAACAAACCACATCTTTATTTTATAGATGAGGTAACCAACGCATAGACAATTTTCATCCAAGATCACACAGATTGATTATAACCCTGACATTAAAGCCCAGGGTTGTTTGGAACCAAATCTTTGTTTTTTTTCCTTCTACCATACAGCCTCTAGAAAAGAGAGCCTATCTCCAAACACCTTTGAAATAATAGTGTGAACATGCTAACATAATTAGTAATTTAAAGCACATTATTAATGCTGAAAGGTACTAATGACTGTAATTGAAAGGAAGGACATTAGATTAGACAAACAAATTTTCTTAGAATTTATAAACTAGATTAAAATTGGAGTCTAGTGAATGGATTTACTCACTGACTTTCTTTCTTTGCTGTAGTCATTAACCCAAATTTGGTCTCCCATTGACATATACATATATTTTCTTTACACACTCCTATTGTATTTGTTAATGTTTATCTTGGCAGATGATCAACAGATCTCTTTAAATTTCCCCTAACCAAGTTTTGGATAACAGATGGCTAAATATGCCTCCTATTAGGTAGCACTGCCAGGCCAAAAGGAAGAGAAAGCTAAGAGCTGGTAATAATTGTTCAGTTCTTTCCTTTTTACAATAAATGTTATATAAATCAACTACTAGAGTATTTAAAATATGGTATGTTTCTTTTTAGTTATACTTCATTACCCATTTCATGCATATTTAAAACATTTATTCAAAGTTTACTTCATTGTGTGCCTCTATATCTAATTATAATTTTTCATGTATCAGCTAATTTAGAGATTAGGAAGTAAAAGCACAGATGACGCATACATGTTCTTTAAAAAGTACTCTTGGTTTCTATCTATGCATACAGGAGGAACTGTACCCCCTGCAGAAAAAATGACGAAAAGATTCAATCTGTTTGAAAGAACCACTATTGCTAATTTCAAGTTTGTTATTTTTCAGCAATGAGAATAAATGTTCACTATGAATTAACTTTGTTTAGCAAAGGAGGATAAGGATCTGAGAGTTAAGTTCATAAGTAACTAGCAATTGTGTAAGTATGGATAAATCTTACATGATATGAAAGCATTTTGTTCCTATATTGTCAATACATCACATCTATTGTAACAAAGTTGCACTTAATTCATTAGTAAAACCACTATTCATTAGTAAAACCACATGGGCATTCAGGTGATCTGGAAGCATGAAGGGATTTTTAGTTAGGAGGAAAAACAGACATTTCAAAAATTCAATCATTCTTTGTAACAAATTGAGGTTGGCATTGGCCTTTTAATTAAAACATTTCTTGAAAACACTTTTTCAGTTTTTGCATGCTGAGATAATTTGTGGGAGCTGGAGATGAGGATGAGAGAATCTTTTCCCATTAAGACTAAAAGTACAAATCTAGGAGCCCCTCAATTACTGTACCTCAGTTGTGAGCAAGCACAGCATGGTAAGAAAAGTTTCACAGTTGTTTGACTCATCTTTTCTTGAGCTACCTTGTCAAATCTTTGTTGTGTAATAGAATTCTTAAAGACACCCAACAGCTCTCTACAGGAGCTGGAAATGATCTAAATACTTAGATAATATTTTCCAGAGAGGCACAAACATTTTAAAGGTGGATTTCTAGAGTTTCTGTGTGCAATTCTTTATATCTCAATGGCACCTGAACTAATACCTGCTGACCTGCTGTCATTTCCCCCCATTTATTTTTAGATCTTCAGTTGCTTTAGAGATGGATTTAATATGTAAAGCAGAAGCTTACACAATGAAACATTTGCATGATTTTATTTTGATTTTGGCACCAGTTAAGTAGGGCAAAGTTGATCCTATCTCATAAGAAACTCTACCCCACCTTTCCTCTGAGGACTTGGAGGTTCATATTTGCTTACCTGCTTCCGTGAAGATACTGTGCTATTGAAACATCTATTAGAGGCCTTTGAATTCAAATTCTTGTTCTGATGGGTAGAGTCATTTTTCCATGTCTTAGAGTTTTCTTTAGGATCTGAAGGAATAGGATTTAAGAAGAGGATCCTAGCTATGAATCCATAGAGGACGGTGGCCAGGATCATTGGCACAACATAAAAGACACCGAAATCCATTAGGTAAATAGGTGAGTAGTAATTTCTGGAGATCTTATAGCCACAGGACACCACAATAGCATCTTTGTAGGTGCTAATATTGAGATCCAGCAAGAAGAACCAGAGCATACAGTAAATGGATGTAAAAGCCCAGACAAAGATGATGATCTTTTTGGCTCTGGAAAATGTGCAGAGAAACTGGGCTTTGATGGGGTGACAGATCGCTATGTACCTCTCAATGGTAAAGGCTGTGATTGAACAAGAGGATGCATTAATACCCAGGTACTGGAGGTAAGTAATGCAGAGGCATCCCACATAGCCGTAGACCCAGGAGCCGTAGATACTGTCTGTTATGTTGGGGAGGCCCGCGGCCACCAGGACCATGAGATCAGCTACTGCCAGACTCACCAGGTAGCAGTTTGTGGGGGTCCTCATGTGCTTGGTTCTCATGACCACCAGGACCACCATGATGTTGCCTATGATGCCCAGGCCACAAATAACGAGCACAAGTAAGATGGTGACCACTTGGTATTCCAGGGTCACCACTGCTCGTGGCTGAAGCTCTGTTTGGTTGAGTTCACTTACTGTTTCATTTTCCATCTTCAGTGGCTTGAAGTTTCTCTGAAACACTTCTCAAAACATCTTCTATGCAGTGCCTTTACAACAGTGGTCCTCTCCTACCTGTGAAGAGTTAGAATCCATGTTCATTCCATTTCAGATCCAGTCATATCACTAACAGGTAATTTCCACTTCCTCTCCTACCTCCTATTTTTCTGCAGTAACCAGCTCATATGTACTTCTGAAAACTCCTTTTATTGAAACTCTAATGTGCAAGGGAGTAACTATTTTGACCAGCTTACTGTAAGAGGGACTAGTTTCCTCTTAATGGAGAATGATGCTTAAGAAAACAGAAAAAGCTCCCTGTTTTGAAAGACCGCCCAAAGGGAAAAACTTAACAATACCTGCAAATGGAAAAAACATATACGAAGAAATATCTTAGATGCTTGGGGAAGGTATAACCAATAGGAGAAGGGTACTGAGGCGGGGGGAAGCAAGCAGCTAAGTGATAGAGATTGGTATGAATCCAGCATTTGCTGTCTTTTGCTCCCAGATCCCTTTGCTAAAAAATGTCAATTCTTTGCATATACATCTCCCCATGCCCCTGCCTACATCCTTAAGACAGAAGATATCAATACCAATAGAGATCAATTTCTTCCCTTACCTTTTCTTCTGTAGAGCTGCCTGCTTTTAGCCGTAGATGAAGCAGTAATAAGCCCAAGTTTCCAATTCTGCAGAAAATATCATCTACTTTGTTTGACAGGGAAACCACTTAGCAATGCTCAGTCTTCAGAACTGCAGTTCCTCCAAACCCTCACAGCCCTTTTCATCTGATGACAGACCATACAGCTGCAGCAGGAGCAGCAGCAAGAGCAGCGAGGCTGTCAAATCATAGAGCGTCTCCTAATGAGAACTAACTCTCCTCTCTCTCTCTCTCTCTCTCTCTCTCTCTCTCTCTGTCACACACACACACACATACACTCGAGAGGCCAGTCAGCTCTCACTGATTCTTAATCTTGTGCCACTGAAAGATTTACTTTTAAATGTACTGATGAGACAGCCCTTAGTCTGGAAGGCTGAAATCTCAAGTAAGGGTCCTGAAGCAGCTGGTATATAGTGGCTTATAGTTTAAGTTCTGCAGGAACTTCCACACCTGAGCAGCTCTGTATGATAAGACTTTGGTGGCAGCAAATCCTTCCCTGTCCCTTTGGTGGTAGCAAGTCCTTGAAGCTTGAAATAACTGTCTGCGCTGAAATCAACTCCTTTCTCTGCTTTGGAAACCTTTAGACTAGTTCTTCAATCACACAGTAAAATTGGCTCCCTCCTCTCATATTATATGAATGGAAATGAGTTAAAATTAATTTTGATCCATTTCAGCTGCAATTTTCTGAGGCTTATAAAAATTATTTAAAAAAAATTTTTGAGCTAAGAACATTAATTTAAACCTGCATATGATCTGCTAACTTTGGTTTTCAACTTTGTCTCTGTATCACATCATAGAATATCCCCACTGCTCTGGGTCCCTCATCCCCTCTCTCATCTACTGCACCACCAACCACATGACCCATCCAGGAATGTTTTGTGTAATTTATTTCTAGGTGGAAATAATAATCTAGTGGCGATTTAAACCAGTGCTGGTACCACCCCTCTGAAACAAAACCTTGTAGAGCCATCTTTTTTTAGTAAAGTACACTTTCTTTTTTTTTTTTTTAAAGATTTATTTATTTATTTATACAAGCACTGGGTACAGTCAGAAGCGCGGGAGGGTGAGAGAATTCACCAGAGCCAGAGCGGGGAGCAGAGCAGGCAGAAGGACCGAAGTACACTGCTGAGGGGAGCAGCGGGCAGCAGGAGAGGTCTGCGCGCCACACTTTCTTTTTTAAAATTAAATTTTGGGGGTGACCTTTTTGCTCTTCCATATGTGCACATGTTCCATTCATCCGCCACTAAACCATCTGTGCTCATAACTTCGTATGTCTCTCTCTTCTACTTCCTTCTTTCTGTTCCCTCTGGTAACCATTATATTCTTTCACTGAGTTCAAGATTTATTCCTGCTCTACTTTGCCCATGTATGTTTTTTGGCTATTTATATTCCACAGATGAATGAAGCATCTGACACCTGTCTTTCACTTTTGACTATCTTCACTTACCTTAAGGTTCATCCATTTTGACCCAAGTTCATCTTTTCCACAGCTTTGTAGTACTCCATTGATTATATATTCCATAGTCCATCTGTTAGAGGGCACTTGGGTTAGTTTCATGTCTTGGCAATTATGGAGAGTGCTGCTATAGTTACTATAGGTAGGTACATAGGCATAGATAAATCTTTTTGGATTAGTTTTCATAATATTTGGATGTTTAAAATTGCCTATGAGTAAATCTTTTTTTTATGATTTAAGCATTTTTTTAATTTAAATTTTATTTTTATATATTCCCCATACAATTACAACCCCCTTATTTTGACCCCAAGCCCTCTCTTTCCCCACCCCCCACACCCCATAGAGTGTCTCTGGTTCACAGTTGTTTGTTGATTTTGATATTTTCTTTCTTATAGTTATTCTTTTTCCTGGTCCCTTATTTAAGTTTTCTAGATTCCTGCTATGAGTGAGACCATCCGGTATTTTTCTTTTTCTTTCTGGCTTATTTCGCTGAGCATGATCCCTTCCAGCGCCATCCATGTTGCTGCAAATTGCATGTGTTTATCTTTTTTGAATGCTGAGTAATATTCCATGGTGTATATGTACCACATCTTCTTGATCCAGTCATCTATTTTTGGGCATTTGGGTTGTTTCCAAAGCTTAGCTATTATAAATAGTGCTGCTATCTTTATACTTTTTCATGGTAGCTTGGAAAACATGTCTTCCATTTACAGGTGCCAACTGAATACACCAAATGTTAATGTTTGTCCATTCCTATTTTATTAGCTGACAACGAAAACATTCCCTACATGATGAACTGGTTGATTCTGTATTTTATCAAGTTCAGATCCCCTTCTTCTCGAAAATGCCAATGAAAAGGAAGATTTAGACAGTATCATATGCATATCAAAAATATGTTTAAGCCTAGATAAAATGAGATGAAAGACAGCTTTGGATCATATGAAGTAAATTCTACCTTGTGAACTTTTAAGGATTCCTTGAGAATCTACTTTTTCCAAATCATCCCTAGTTACAAATTAATGAACCGTGACCCAGATTCTCTCAGACACGTATTGTTTGACTTGTACAGTGTAGACTCAGTGTGATTTTAAATAATGTGACTACTATTTAACATTTAAATTTGAAAAATTATACTCTGACCACAAGGAGTTTGAGCTGAAGATGAGGCAAAAATCAATGAAGACCAGGTGGGTTTTCTAGTAAGACAAATTAACATTATGAATTTTTTTCTTTTTACTCAGCCTCCAAGTATTGACATTTTACTTAAATGTTGATATTTTGGTAATCATGGATACTTTGCATTCACTCAATATTGCATTAAAGTTATATGTTGATTGCTGGATTTTGGAGACCCTTTAAATTTTGTGCCCTCCTCTGCCTCACCCTATTCCCAGCCTTCTCATCTCCAGTTGAATTTCAGAATCGTCAGAATAGCTTTTAAATACACAGATATTAGGTTCCTCTCCCAGATAGTCTTATTTGACTAGTCAAGACATGACTAGTTTTGATACATACAACGATGGTCAAAAACTACTAAATAACACCAACAGACATTGGTCGCTGGAATGTCACATGATGTTACTTGGTGTCCTATACTTTAGGAGGGCCATGGAAATTAAATGAAGATGCAAATAACCTGCCAAGATTCAGAAAAGTGACAGTGACAGTAGAAAACTTTGGCAACAGAACACTAGCACAAGACTGGTTCCTGAGAAAAATTGTTTAACTATGTAGGTTTCTAGGCTTTGAAACACTGAATATTGTATAATCTCCCAAGTTAAGATTTAGACGCAGAAACCACCCAGAAACATATTCACTGAAATTGGGGTGAGTTTGGAAGAAGAAAACAAAGTTAGTATGGATTTGATGCTAAGTCACTTAGATATTGAACTAAGGATTATTCAGTGTTCCCTGTTCAGGTGTAAGCTTCATCACAGAGTCTTGAGTAGAAGTCATTTTGCAATCTTAATAGAAAAAAAAAATCAACATCAATTTTTCCCCAAATTTAAATTTGAGCTACAGAAAATTGTTGATCAACAAAAGAAAATACTTTCTGTAATGTAATTATGAAGTTGTGTTTGTGTTTATTGGAAAAAATAGGAAGTCTTATTTGCTCTATAAGGAAAAACACTATAGGCAGTACCATATATTTGGGGGACAAACTGGTCTTCCTTTCTGTCTCTCTGTTATATATACTTTTATATTTCCCAGAGCCCACATTTGTGGAAAAAATGGAATCTTACATTTAAAAATAAAACATGTTGAACTCAATCCAAAAGTGTTTACAAATGTAGAAGTATACACACATACATCTGGCCCCATCTATAGCATTCCTTATCTGGTCAGGGGAAGTATGCTCAGGAAGGGTTAACACTTTCATGACCGTTTCTCCAAAGTATCACTTGGGGACATGACCTAAACAAAATATTTAAGAGTAAAAACTTTAATCAAAATATTTAATTCCTGAGTTCATATTTCTCTTTGACTTATTGCATTTTTTATGGAACACTTTAAATTTTTTTTTAAAGTTCAAAAAAGTTGCTATAATTGAGTTGTGGATTTCCATTATACAACTGATCATGTTTTATTCTTCACTCCTGTTACTAGGAATCTCAAATCAAATTTATATTCTTACATGAATTGTTGTGTAAGAGTTTACAAATAATTTTTTGTCTCCTATATTAAGCATTTGACCTTCATTTTCTCCTCTGTTTTCATTTCTTTATTGTGTCATGTACACAAATACTTTCCAGACACATACACTGCTTCCCAGGTATATATGTATAACTAAAAAATTCATTTTATAAATGTACAACTTACATAAAATGATTTTAAGTGTAGAGTTTTATAAGTTAACAATATATAAACTATTGTACCTATCACCACAATGAAGATACAGAAAACTTCCATCAACTTAGAATCTTCTTATTTTAGAATATTCCTTTGCAGCCAACTCTCTAACCC